CACATTGGCTGATTTGGAAAGAATTTATTTGCAAATTATGGTGGAAAATAAGTATTTGGTCACCTACAAACAAGCAAGATTTCTGGCTCTCACAAACCTGTACCTTCTTCTTTAAGAGGCTCCTCTGTCCTGCACTCATTACCTGTATCAATGGCACCTGTTTGAACTTGTTATCAGTATAAAAGACACATGTCCACAACCTCAAACAGTCACACTCCAAACTCCACTATGGTGAAGACCAAAGAGCTGTCGAAGGACACCAGAAACAAAATTGTAGACCTGCACCAGGCTGGGAAGACTGAATCTGCAATAGGCAAGCAGCTTGGTGTGAGCAAACCAACTGTGGGAGCAATAATTAGAAAATGGAAGACATACAAGACCACCAATAATCTCCCTCAATCTGGGGCTCCACGCAAGATCTCACCCCGTGGGGTCAAAATGATCACAAGAACGAGCATAAATCCCAGGACCACACGGGGGGACCTAGTGAATGACCTGCAGAGAGCTGGGACCAACGTAACAAAGGATACCATCAGTAACACAAATGTGAAAAAGGTATAGCGAGCGCTACAGACAAAAATGCACAAGCAGCTAGAACACCAAAAAAGGCAACCAACCCACCTTACAATAATCAATGATAAGAGAAAAGTAGGTGCAGCGCTGAAATCAAAAATACAAATAATTCTCTATAAGATAAATATGTGAATGTCAGTAGTCAAACAGATATGACACAATGGTAAACAGTGCGTTAATGAAAATGTTGAAGCACACATAAAGTCCTCGTCCCAAATTAATGGTTGTAAAGAGGTGAAAAAAATCTAGGAGCAGATAGAGTGCGCACTCACCAGAGGTGCGTTAAAATAACGCATGTAGAGAAATAGTTTCTGCAAGATCTCTCCAGCATCAGAGCTCTGGTCAGATCGCACTGCGTCCTATCCTCTGTCTCACCGCGAAGAGCAGTAGCCAAGTTGCATCCAACCGTGTGGGCGTCAAGGAACTCGTTAGTCCAGAGAGGCACTGTGGGAGATGGTGCTCTCAAAGAGAGCCTGCTGACCTTCACCTTCACAGGAGAGAGCTCTCAAATTCTGAGCTCAGAGCTACTGCACCAGGGATACCTGGTTACCATCTTACCATCAGTAACACACTACGCCGCCAGGAACTCAGCTCCTGCAGTGCCAGACGTGTCCCCCTGCTTAAGCCAGTACATGTCCGGGCCCGTCTGAAGTTTGCTAGAGAGCATTTGGATGATCCAGAAGAGCATTGGAAGAATGTCATATGGTCAGATGAAACCAAAATAGAACTGTTTGTTAGAAACACAACTGGTCGTGTTTGGAGGAGAGAGAATGCTGAGTTGCATCCAAAGAACACCATACCTACTGTGAAGCATGGGGGTGGCAACATCATGCTTTGGGGCTGTTTCTCCGCAAAGGGACCAGGACGACTGATCCATGTATAGGACAGAATGAATGGGGCCATGTATTGTGAGATTTTGAGTGCAAACCTCCTTCCATCAGCAAGGGCATTGAAGATGAAACGTGGCTGGGTCTTCCAACATGACAACTATCCCAAACATACCGCCCGGGCAGCGAAGGAGTGGCTTCGTAAGAAGCATTTCAAGGTCCTGGAATGGCCTAGCCAGTCTCCAGATCTCAACCCCATAGAAAGCCTTTGGAGGGAGTTGAAAGTCCGTGTTGCCCAGCGACAGCCCCAAAACATCACTGCTCTAGAGGATATCTGCATGGAGGAATGGGCCAACATACCAGCAACAGTGTGTGCCAACCTTGTGAAGACTTACAGGAAACGTTTGACCTCTGTCATTGCCAACAAAGGATATATAACAAAGTATTGACATGAACTTTTCATATTGACCAAATACTTATTTTCCACCATAATTTGCAAATAAATTCTTTCCAAATCAGCCAATGTGATTGTCTGGATTTTTTTTCTCATTTTGTCTCTCATAGTTGAGGTCTACCTATGATGCCAATTACAGGCCTCTCTCATCTGTTTAAGTGGGAGAACTTGCACAATTGGTGGCTGACTAAATACTTTTTTACCCCACTGTATATATATATATATATATATATATATATATATATATATATATATATATATACACACACACACACACATATACTACACATACACACATATACTGCACACACACACAAATATACAGGTGAAACTCGAAAAATTAGAATATTGTTCGAAAGTTCATTTATTTCAGTAATGCAACTTAAAAGGTGAAACTAATATATGAGATAGACTCATTACATGCAAAGCAAGATAGTTCAAGCCGTGATTTGTCATCATTGTGATGATTATGGCTTACAGCTCATGAAAACCCCAAATCCACAATCTCAGAAAATTAGAATATTGTGAAAAGGTGCAATATTCTCGGCTCAAAGTGTCCCACTCTAATCAGCTAATTAAGCCATAACACCTGCAAAGGGTTCCTGAGCCTTTAAATGGTCTCTCAGTCTGATTCAGTAGGAATCACAATCATGGCAAAGACTGCTGACCTGACAGTTGTGCAGAAAACCATCATTGACACCCTCCATAAAGGAGGGAAAGCCTCAAAAGGTAATTGCAAAAGAAGTTGGATGTTCCCAAAGTGCTGCATCAAAGTACATTAATAGAAAGTTATGTGGAAGGGAAAAGTGTAGAAGAAAAAGGTGCACAAGCAACAGGGATGATTGCAGCCTGGAGAGGATTGTCAGGAAAAGGCCATTCAAAAGTGTTGGGGACTTTCACAAGGAGTGGACTAGGCTGGAGTCAGTGCATCAAGAGCCACCACACACAGACAGATCTTGGACATGTGCTTCAAATGTCGTATAACTCTTGTCAAGCTGTTCCTGAACAACAAACAATGTCAGAAGCGTCTTACCTGGGCTAAAGAACAACAGACCTGGACTGTTGCTCAGTGGTCCAAAGTCCTCTTTTCTGATGAGAGCAACTTTTGCACCTCATTTGGAAACCAAGGACCCAGAGTATGGAGGAAGAATGGAGAGGCACACACTGCAAGATGCTTGAAGTACAGTATGAAGTTTCCACAGTCTGTGTTGATTTAGGGAGCCATGTCATCTGCTGGTGTTGGTCCACTGTGCTTCCTTAAGTCCAGGTTCAACGCAGCCATCTACCAGGAGATTTTGGAGCACTTCATGCTTCCTTCCACAGACGAGCTTTATGGGGATGCGGACTTCATTTTCCAGCAGGACTTGGCACCTGCCCACACTGCCAAAAGCACCAAAACCTGGTTCAGTGACCGTAGGATTACTGTGCTTGATTGGCCAGCAATCTCGCCTGACCTAAACCCCATAGAAAATCTATGGGGCAGTGCCAAGAGACAGATGAGAGACATGAGACCGAACAATGCAGAAGAGCTGAAGGCCGCTATTGATGCATCCTGGTCTTCCATAACACCTCAGCAGTGCCACAGGCTGATAGCTTCCATGCCACGCCGCATTGAGGCAGTAATTGCTGCAAAAGGGGCCTAAACCAAGTACTGAGTACATATGCATGCTTATACTTTTCAGAGGTTCGATATTGTTCTATGTACAATCCTTGTTTTATTGATTGCATGTAATATTCTCATTTTCTGAGATTGTGGATTTGGGGTTTTCATGAGCTGTAAGCCATAATCATTACAATTATGACAAATCACGACTTGAACTATCTTGCTTTGCATGTAATGAGTCTATCTCATATATTAGTTTCACCTTTTAAGTTGCATTACTGAAATAAATGAACTTTTGCACGATATTCTAATTTTTCGAGTTTCACCTGTACACACACACACACACACATATATATATTATACACACACACACACATATATATATATATATATATATATATATATATATATATATATATATATATATATATATATACATACACACACACACACACACACACACATATACACACACACAGAAATATATATACACACAAATACTATGCATATATATATATATATATATATATATATATATATATATATATATATATATACACACACACACACAAATATATAGACCGATCATTTCTTTGTAAGTGGGCAAACATTCCAAATCAGCAGGGGATCAAATACGCATTTCCTTCACTGTATATATACACACACATACACACACAAACATGCACACAGCGATTGGCATTTATTCCACCTTAACAGTATGTCTCATCGGAGACACCAGAATGTGATAATTTGAAGGAAAGTAAAGTACACGTTTGCCCATGTAGCACGTGTGATAGACAGGTGTTCACAAACTTCTGGCCAAAAAGTGAAGGTGTGGATACACTGGCCTTGAAATAATTCTACAATTTTTTGGGCAAACCTGGTAAAGGACGGTATAATCATCTATTAGACGTGGTAAAGAACATTACACATATGTTCCAAATGCAGATACATTTTATTATGCTTCATTCCCAACATTTCCCTAACTGGCTTCCTGTAAGCGCAGAGCAATCTGGACCCGTTGCCGCTGACTTGCGGTACGTGAACATAATATAAAGATACATAACAGTGGTTATATAAAGAAATTATGCCAGCAATGCTGACTACACCACTGAGGGCCAGAAAAGAAGTGTAGCAGAAAAGAATGGCGATTGTCACATGACCAGCCAGAAGACATCTTAAAAATAGTATGTGTATCAAAAAAAAAACATAAAAAATGAATGAGATGGGATTCCAGTGGGGAGGACAGGGGTTGGCCTGTATTGGGCTTTCTTTGGAGACTCCACATTTACACATACTGTATGACCAGCAAGCTCCTGACACTTTCTCGGCACAAGAGCTTTTAGTTACCTCTAGTGAGTCAGTTGTCATGGGGAAGAGAATATTTTGGAGTACCATTTCCAGCTTTTAGAACATGGACATTGTCCGTCACCTGCTGAACCAGAATTAGTTCATGAATGCGCTCCCACCCACACAGACGCAAGCGTATTAATTGTTCCGTGTGCGACTAGATTTCAGTTAAGACTCCCTTTCCACCACTGGTTCATGAAAAGGGCTTTTTGGCGGTGTGAATTCTCTCGTGTCTAATAAGAGCCGACCTCCAAGCAAAACACCTTCCACATTCAGAACATGAAAAAGGCTTTTCCCCTGTGTGAGACCTCTGGTGTCTAATGAGCAGTGACTTAAAAGAAAAATATTTCCCGCAGACAGAACAGGTATAAGGCCCCACCCCCGCATGAGATCTTCGATGTGAGATGAACGGTCCTTTCTGGTCGAAACATTTGCCACATTCGGGGCAGTGAAAAGGCTTCTGAGACATGTGAATCCTTTCATGGATGACCAGATTCGACCGTTCGCTGAAATGCTTTCCGCATTCCGAACATGAATAGGGCTTCTGCCCGGTGTGAATTCTTTCATGCCGAACAAGTGCCGATTTTTGTGCAAAACATTTCCTGCATTCAGAACATGAATAAGGCTTCTCACCCGTATGGGTTCTCTGATGTCTTATGAGGAAGGCTTTCCAAGGAAAACATTTCCCACATTCAAAACATGAATAGAGTTTCATCTCCGTGTGAGTCCTCTGGTGTGAGAGAAGGTCCTCCTTCTGGGTAAAACATTCCCTGCACTCGGAACATGGGAAGGCTTCACCCTCTTGGACTGGTTGTATGATCAATGTCTGAAGGCAAGTGTTCCAGGAAGAACTCCCCGTGTGTTAACTGATCAGGTGATAAATGTGCATTACGAAAAAATGGATGGCGATTTAGGGAAATGGGGTTTTCTATTGGGTAATCCTGCATAAAGTCATGATCTTCTATTTCACCATCTGGAGAGGTCAGTGGATGTTCCTCTAGATCATTCCATGTATAACGTCCATCTGAGCCAAATAAGAACACAGAGGAGAATGAGGATAGTTAAAAGGGAAACTAATCATTTCGGGTCAGTATATCTCCATTGAAATTAAATACTAGCACTGTGTTAGTATCCTCCACCAACTCAAAGTAGGAAAAAACGACAAGTACATACAGTGCGGAGACTGCTGCTGGTCATAGGTTGCCCTCTGACTACTGTCAGTCTGTACCCAAATACTCAATTTTGACTGGTGTAGGAGCCGAAAAAAAGTGGTCATGTTACAATGCTGGGGCCTGAGATTTGGTGCTCAACCCAAACACTGCCCCAAGGGAGGAGGTCACATTCTCCTACAGTGAAGGAAATAAGTATTTGATCCACTGCTGATTTTGAATGTTTGCCCACTCACAAAGAAATGATCCTGTTCCCTTAGCAGAAAAACACCCCCAAAGCAGAATGTTTCCACCACCATGTTTGACAGTTGGGATGGTGTTCTTGGGGTCATAGGCAGCATTCCTCCTCCAAACACGGTGAGTTGAGTTGATACCAAAGAGCTCGATTTTGGTCTCATCTGACCACAACACTTTCAACCAGTCCTCCTCTGCATCATTCTGATGTTCAGTGGCAAACTTCAGGCGGGCCTGGACATGTGCTTTCTTGAGCAGAGGGACCTTGCAGGCACTGCAGGATTTCAATCCTTGTCGGCGTAGTGTGTTACCAATTGTTTTCTTGGTGACTGTGGTCCCAGCTACCTGGAGATCATTGACAAGATCCTCACGTGTAGTTCTGGGATGATTCCTGACTGTTCTCACGATCATTGACACTCCACGAGGTGAGATCTTGCATGGTGCACCAGACCTAGGGAGACTGACAGTTGTTTTGTGTTTCTTCCATTTGCGAATGATTGCACCAACTGTTGTCACCTTCTCACCAAGCTGCTTGGTGATAGTTTAGTAGCCCAGTCCAACCTTGTGTAGGTCTATAATCTTGTCCCTGACATCCTTGGACAGCTCTTCGGTCTTTGCCATGGTGGAGAGTTTGGAATTTCATTGTTTGATTGCTCCTGTGGACAAGTATCTTTTATACAGGTAACAAAATGAGATTAGCAGCACTCCCTTTAAGAGACTTCTTCTAATCTCAGCTTGTTACCTGTATGAAAGACACCTGGTAGCCAGAAATCCTGCTGAATGATAAGGGATCAAATATGTAATTCCCTCATGAACATGTAAATCAGTGCATCATTTGTTAGACATGCATTTCTTTGGAATGTTCTGTTGCTATTCTGTCTCTCAGTGTTACAATACACAGAACATTCGATTTTTTAGACCGATCATTTCTTTGTGAGTGGAAAACATTCAAGATCAGCAGGGGATCAAATACGCATTTCCTTCACTGTACATACTTGGAAATATTGGGCATTTTGCACCAGCTAAACTAGAGGTGGAAGCAAAGGGGGAACACTGGAGAGGTGAATATTTGCGGGTTGGTGGAGTTTCATAAACCTGAACGGGCATTAGACTAAATAGAATTGACTGTAAAAAGTATTGGCATAGTCTTCATCCATTATTTATTACTCACCTGTGCCAATCTCTGGAGGACCTTCTTCCTCCTCGCACTGCTCATGTACCCTCACGTACATTTCTTTACCATCTAGAGTTTCAACTTTAATCATAATTAGGTCTTCACCCTGGACAGGTCACACAGCACAAGAAAGTCTCATTTTGTCAGAATGATGCAGATTCAGATCAATTCATGTAAAAGGAAACTACATAATTTTTATATGTTTTTAGATATAGGAATCAATCCTGATCATAAATAATTGCATCAATGAGTGTTCACGTTTAAAAAAAAAAAGAACCTTAATGTGTATATATTTTAATATACTATACGCAGGCATATTTGCTCCTTATATATTAGGTTGGGCCTGAAGTCAACAGCGAAGAAATGTAAACTGTGCCCAAGCAGTACCCTGGAAAGGCTTGAACAGCATTGCACTTTTTGTACGAAGGCAATCCTGTTCTGTAGTCTTGAAGATGTATATCTACAATGCGAGATCTAAAGCACTGTTGCCTCAGATTCTTAGGCCTCTTTGACACGGGAGTTCCGATCAGATCCGCCTCTCAGTTTTTCAGGCAGACCTGATCAGAAGGTCCATACATTCCCATGGACAGGCACATGTACACCTACCTACCTCTGGGTCTGATCAAAAAGAAAAAAAAATGGAAAAGAACTCCATCCTCTTCCATTTAGGCAGAGCAGATCAGAGGAAACCGAGTGTAAACAATTAACAGAGTCCATTTGCTCCCAGCCGCCCATAGGGCAGAGTAGGCTCTGACCATGTCCACTCTGCCAAATCTGAGCAGACACAGATGTGTCATCTGCCCGCTCTGCCCTGATCAGCTCACAAATCCCTTGCTGATCGCAACGGATTCACCCCTATGTGAAAGGGGCCTTTGTCTCAACAGATTTGGAGCATGATTTGATCATGTCACTACTGCACTGCTAAAAGTTCTCCTTGCTGGAGAGGAAGCTGTACCTGTGGACCTGTAGTGCAAAGATATCCCTGCTTTTACTCCATTCATTCTGTGAATCTGTGCTTTTTTGCACCTCTACACCTGCTGCTTCTTCATCAATACCCCATCAGTCATCAGGGGGCAGCTCTGACATAAAAAAAAAACAGCTATGCTCCTCTACTAAGACGGCTGCCTCCACACAGAGACACAATGTGGAAAGAAATCAACATTGACCCTATAGGCAATACTGGTGACTCGTCCTTTGTCCTTGGCTTGCCTCGATTGCAGGCAGCTTCCAAAGTTGAGGAAAATAATAATCTGAACTCAAAAATGCATACAAGCGTAAAATACAGTTTTCCTCTAAAGAACAATGAAGAACACAGAGAACAACTAGGTGACAAACACAGGGCGAAAACATTCAGACTGCTCTATTACTATTGTAAGCTGATGCTTCTGAAACACATTTGGCTGCTTTCCATGTCCTGAAGAAGGGAGACTTCAGAGCATCTGAAATGTGTGGACTTTTTCACACATGATATCTTATTCATAAAAAACATAAATTTTAGACTACTTCATCTCTTTGACTGTTCCTCATTCAGGATTTCATCCCCTCCCCCTCCCCCCCATGAGAGCAGCCAAGAAAAATATTTGATACTACTTAGTCTGCTGCACCCTTCCGCATACCTGATAATTCTGTGAGATCTTGTGATGTTCTTGTGTGGAATCCTGGGAAATCACAGGACTGGGACATCTCTCTGGTGTACTTCTGTTACTGGATCCAGCTATAGGAACCACACACTGACTGAATACATTTAGGGGAATTTAAAGGGAATGGGTATATCCTCACTACGTTTATCTCCTTTGCAATTGATTAATGTCTCCTCTTACCCGGTGATGTGAGGGGCGGCTGATCCTCCATCATGACGTCCTTGTAGAGATCCTTGTGTCCTTCTAAATACTCCCACTCCTCCATGGAGAAATAGACAGTGACATCCTGACACCTTATAGGAACCTGACACACACAATAATACAGTCACCATCCAGACACATCCCTTGCCTGTTACTGGATAAGGTCCCTGAATTCCCGGCACAACTCACCTCCTTTGTCAGCAGCTTAATGATCTTCTGGGTGACATTTAGAATCTTCTTGTCGTTGCTTCTTTCATGTTTCAAGGAGGGCGGTGGAGGCTCCATGTTGGGGCTGTGCAGCCTGTTCCATCCTCCTGACCAACTGGGGCGGCCACTGGGTGTCACGTGTTCCACGGAAGTCTTTTTCACTACTGTGTAGTCCTGTGTGATAAGAATGAAACTAAAACATTACAATTAGGTGTTTTTAAATAGCAGCAGACAGTTTTCCTAATAGTATCTATTTCAGTTTCTTGGGGAGTCTTCCGATCCCAATCACACGTTACAACTTCAGCTCTGACTTTGAACATTATCACGCTTCCTCTAGCCCAGTGGTTCTCAACCTGGGGGTCGCGACCCCTTTGGGGGGTCGAACGACCCTTTCACAGGGGTCGCCTAAGACCATCAGAAAAACATATTTCTGATGTGTAAAGAGCAGCTACTGTGTAGAAAGCAGCTGCTGTGTTGAAAGCAGCTACTCTGTTAAAAGCAGCTACTGTGCTGAAAGCAGCAGTATTGGAGGTAAAACGACACTTCATGAATTATAATTACTGGGTAAATAATGTTATGGTTGGGGGTCACCACAACATGAGGAACTGTATTAAAGGGTCACGGCATTAGGAAGCTTGAGAACCACTGCTCTAGCCTATCCTCTCTGGTCAGGTCTGTGTGTTTATCAATATCAATAAAAGGGATGTCATGTGACCTCCCAGAATCCTCCTCACTTCTCTCGGTCAGGTCTGTTTTATTTATAGAGATCAGAGTGACGCCACATGACCCTCTTAGAATCCTCCTCTCCGGTCAGGTCTGTGTTTTATTAATAGAAGTGAGTGATGTCATGTGACCTCCCAGAATCCTCCTCACCTCTCCGGTCAGGTCTGTGTTTTATGAATAGAGATTACAGTGATGTCATGTGACCTCCCAGAATCCTCCTCACCTCTCCGGTCAGGTCTGCATTTTATTAAGAGAAATCAGAGTGATGTCATGTGACCTCCCAGAATCCTCCTCACCTCTCTGGTCAGCTCTGTGTTTTATTAATAGAGATCAGAGTGATGT